GGAACGCCGCCGCCGGCTTGACGAGCTACTCCTGCGTGTTCAGGGGCCCCGCGAGGGAATCCTTGCGTTCCAGGGCGTGGTCCCCGACCCAGGCGGCGCGCGAGACCTTCCTGCCCAGCGGCGGCATGGCCAGGACGCCGCAGAGGCTCGACGGCGTCTCCGACGCGTTCTCGAGGAACGCCGCCGCCGGCTTGACGAGCTACTCCTGCGTGTTCAGGGGCCCCGCGAGGGAGTCCTTGCGTTCCAGGGCGCGGTCCCCGACCCAGGCGGCGCGCGCGACCTTCCTGCCCAGCGGCGGCATGGCCAGGACGCCGCAGAGGCTCGACGGCGTCTCCGACGCGTTCTCGAGGAACGCCGCCGCCGGCTTGACGAGCTACTCCTGCGTGTTCAGGGGCCCCGCGAGGGAGTCCTTGCGTTCCAGGGCGCGGTCCCCGACCCAGGCGGCGCGCGAGACCTTCCTGCCCAGCGGCGGCATGGCCAGGACGCCGCAGAGGCTCGACGGCGTCCGCGGCTACCGGCGCGCGCGACGACGCCGCCGCCTTCACCACGGGCTCGTCCGAGTTTAGGGGTACTAGGCTTTAATGCTTTTGTGGAAGTTGCGGAACGCGGCCTTGAACCCCAGCGCGCCGTCTCTCATGGTCACGATGGGGTCCCAGGTTTGGAACCACCCCTCCTGGGATTCGCCCTCCATCACCAAACCTGGCGGCAGCGTCGCCTTCGTGGCCTCCTTGATGAAATCGCGGAGCCGCTCCAGGCCGGCCAAAACCTCGGCTTCGGCTTCTCCGCGGCTAAGCATGAAGTAACCGATTGGGTGCCCATGTTGCCGCTTGTCGACAGTAGAAACGACGACGACGACCTTGCCGTGATAGTTGAGTCGTCCGGTCCCGTCAATGCCCACCCAATGTCTATTCTTCACCGCCTTCAGCAAATCACTCAGCGTGGAAAAAACGACGAAGGTCTCGTCGCCGACGCCGCCGATCCGCGGCGGACCCAGCACGAACGTCTTGTGCATGAGTCGCTGATCCAGCGCGGCGCGCTGGATCAGCTCATCAACGTCTCCCAGGTTCAAGACATGGCCGTGGAGCCACGCGGCTAGCTCCTGGTAGGTCCCAGCCCAATACGCCCGTCGTGTGTCGCGCTGGAGGTACATGACGTAGCGCTTCAAGGCTTTTTTGAGCGCTTGACCGTGATCTTTGAAGTTGGGCTCGATGCCCGCGTCTTTGAGCACGCGAAGCATGAGTCGCTCATCGTATTTGACGTGCGCGGCCAGTGGCTCGAGCGCGAGCTTGACCTGGGGCGCGAGGCCTGATTGACGGTGCGTCAGCCGCACGTCCGCGGGCGGGTGCGTGGGCCTCGACCCTCGA